TAAAAATCTACACAACACAGTTATTTCAATGTTCCATGAAAGAATGTGTAAATCTACACAGAGTATAGTAATCCTGTTCAGCTGGATATGAGGAGGTCAGGGATGAATGTGTTGTGTAGTCTCAATAATATTAAAGCAATAGTGTGATCGCAATACTGATAACTGGGAGGCTTAAAACGAGCTATTACATTCTCAGAAATATTGTAATATCAAAAATAATAATAAAATAAATCAATACGAATATTTTTTTCAATATGTGGCGGGTAAGACAGTCAAGGCCTTTGAACCAATTCAAGGCTCCGAAATCAACAGATTCTGTGAGAGAGAGGAAGCATTTTTTCAGGGGTATAAAAGTCCAAAGAAGGCCGTAACCTTTTCCGTGCCAGAGTATTGTTTAAACTTAAAAGTCACTCAGAAGTCACCAAACACTGAGGAGTCTTCAGAAGATCGTGAAGTAGACTTATAACACTACGAATGGCTGGTGTGAAGCTGATATCCAGGTCCAGATTTAGTAAGTAGAAATTTCTTTGGGTGATGTACAGTGCGCTAATTCATGTGATTAATATACAAAGATGTAAACATTTAATTTCAACAATTCCCAGCCAAACGCAGCGCAAAGCAGCGGCTTACACATGAGCACATCCGAAGGAGCAAAATAAAATAGTGTAAGAAATTTTATAAAAGATTCTCTCTGAAAATAGTGTGACGGTTAAGACAAAGATAATTAAAGATGAGGCTGAAGCAGAATCAACACAGTTTTCTATAAGGATGAGCTCGTCTCTTAGAAATTGTTGGGACTGAAGACACCAAAAACTTTATTTATTTATTTATTTATTCATTCATTCATTCATTTGTTATTAATTTACTAGAATCGAAACAGACAGGACAGGACATATAGGGAAGAGAAAGATAAAGAAAAGAGATGTTGGGATAAGGCTCAAAAAGGAGGGGGGAAGAAAAATAGATGGAAGAGAGACAGAGAGAAAATACACTAAAACTCAAGTTGATCACCTGTTGGGTGGTAACAAAAGAGGACAGCACAGAAGAGTAACCACAGCAACAACCAACATAACCACAAGTAACAGTAAATAATAAATATTGAATGTTACTGAGCAGCACACAAGTCTGACAACACACACCTGTGTGTGTGTAGATCCATATATTCACAAGGGTTCTCCGTGTAACTGTCTAATAGTAGGTGTGGGGAGCCCTGCCCCCCAGGACATGAAGCAGGAATGGAGGAGATCAAGGCCCCAGACATCTACAGGCCCCCCAGAGCATGAGAGTAGTGTAGCAAATAAACTGTGCGAATTGCTCGCTATTTTCTGCAGGCTGTGTGAGGCTGTGTCTTATTGAAGTCTGACACCGACAAGGTCACACTAACAGCTGCATTTTGATATTTGAATATCGTGGTTATGTTTTGACTGAGAGAAGAAAAAAAAACGAAGTAGATGAAAATCGCTCCAATTTCAATTATGTGTCGATCTGTGTGAGGATATTAAAAAAGAAAAGTTCAGCTCAGTTTTGCTGTTCCATAAAATATCAGTATTATTCCTGAAGAGCAGAAACGGAGAGAGAGAGAGAGAGAGGGAGCACAACATTTTGATCCCAACCCTCACATTTACCTGTTAACAATTAAAGAATGCCTAATTGGGACCTGACTGAAAAGCTGATTAAAATGAGAAATGTGGCCCAGATGGACCCTTTCATTCAAAGCAGGACACAAATGTGTTCAGTTAGTCACAGCTAAACATAAAAGTACAATAACAAAAATATGAGCAAGGATTGATGCTTGACTTTAATGGCAACTTTGACAATTAATTCTCATGGATTTCTGTCAATTTGCAAATTGTATGTACTGTGTATAAAATTTGTCTGTTTAATAAAAACAATTTGTTTTATTGTGCATATCTATGAAATATAATGTGGATAAATGGGACAAAGGTTGAACTGAATCTTAATATTTATCAGATCACAGGCGAGGCAGTGTTAAAGCAGCAAGGAAAACATTTTTTGAGAAACTAGAGGATGTTAACTTTTCAGAGGTCCTAAATATGCATTATTTAAAGGTCTTAAAGTTCTTCTGAGTTTTTGCTTTTTGGTTGTGCAAACAAACTAAATACAGGTACGTTACTTTTCCTGGAGGGCAGACATTTTTAAAAACAAGATAGCAGCTGCAGTGTAAGTCAGGCTGTGAAATAAAAGATCAAAGAAAACTTAAACAGTATTTAAATATTCAGGCTTTTTAAAGATTTGGAAAAAAAAATGTGTTTGAAATTCAACCTAATCTGCTGCACAGTTTCTCTAACTCTGCTGCCACAAGGACAGATACAGGAAGTCTTTCAAACCACATGAAACAAATCTTTACAGTATTTGTTTTATTTTACTCCAGGAGCGAATTATGTTTTCCAAATAAACATGTAACAAATAAACTGTTGTTTAATTTTTTGGTTGGTGTGGTCCTGAGAGTCGTTGAGCTTGTCTTTGTTTTTAGGGTCACAGGTTTCAAGCTGGTAATCAAGGTGTGAATCAGAAGGGTTAAATGAGCCCCTCCTGGTCTCTGACAAGCCTGCCCCATAAAGGACTTTTTCTTTTGTTTCGGCCCAATTCATGTCTGTGGATCTTTTCTTTGTTAGTAACGCTAAACATGTTAAAAGCTGAATTAAGGCTACACAGGGTTTATTTCCTCACCCAATGAGTTACAATTTTTGCTAAAAAAGTTAAAAAGCTTAAATTTTCATGTTCTATTGCTGTGACACAGGTGAGTGGGTCAAACATGAAACAGGAAGTTGACCCAGAAAAGCACAGGCTGAGGAAAATGACTAAAGTGTCTTTATTGTAAGATCATAAACTTGTTATAGCTAGTTTGTTGAATAAAACACTGATGGAAACAGGAACATGATCAAATCAATAAAAGTGCTCATTTTTGTACTTTTGAATGTTGGTTGTCCTTTATTTTATTCACACAAATGCAGTTTGGACAAGTGCTGATGGTCCTTTGTTAATTAAAACCAAACAATCACCATTCCAAGGTTAATCAATACCACTGAAACAGATAACAGACAATAGCTGAAACTATCTTTAATCAACAGTCAATTATCAGCTTCAATTGAACTGACTCAACCAAAGAGGGCATCAAATTTGGATTACATGGTTTCAGCTAGAGCTAAACCAAAAGTTGTATTTTTCAACTGAGGCACCTCTGAGAGTTAAAAATGGTCTTTCAATGTGCAGCTGTTCTCAGAGGTGTTACAATAAGGACTTCACCAAGTTCAGTGGAGTTAGAAGTTCACATAAAGTTAGTTTCAACCTAAAGATGATAAACCATGTTCTAACTAAAATGTACAGCTCTACCCTCATCATACAACAGGGAGAAGACACCAAAAACCAATATCACTCACTCATGAAAGGGAACAGTCATGGAATTTATCCGTCAGGGTCAACTCTATTTAGCATCAATAGGAATTTGAATAATGGAGGAACCTTCATTTGGTTTTGGCGATCAAAACTGAGCTGCTGCCTTTCTTACTAATGTTATCGAAACACAAAAACTCCCAGGGCTTATGTGGCTGGTAAATTAGCCAACTAAATTAGCTAACTATAAAATTCTGGCTTGCAAAAATGATTGCTAGCTAAACCATATCCTTTTATTCTCTGATGCTAACTTGTGTTTTACGCAGTCACCAACACATTGAAATCTTTATGCTGATAGTGACCTATGCAGTATTTAATCAGGTCTCTGATACATGCAAAAAATATAACAAAACAGTGTTATGAATATTTTCTCACTGTTCACTGTCATATCTGTCAATAAAGTACTTGGTTGTGGTTAATATATACTGTGGTTTCCAATAAACCAGGAACTTCAGTTTCCTAGTGAACTTTAAACCAAAGGTTGTGACTTTAACAAACAAATCTATTTTCTGCCCGTGTGCACCGTGTTCACCTTTGGTTTGCTGCAGTTAAACTGCTCCAACAGGAGGACGTTTTTGAACCAAAGCAGAAAAGTTCTAAAGCTGAACGTCCATCTTTTCTCTCTCATATTTTCTTTTTATGTTACCTGTGCTAAAAACACTACTTCTCAAAAACAGCAGTTAATATTTCCCAGCTGAATTGAACTCTAATCATTGACTAATTAAGGAATCACTGCAACTACAATGTATTTTTTGGATTTGAAAACTGATGGAAAAAAAATGTTATGCAATGTTCTAATTGTGTGAGCTGTATGATAGTCAAGAATACACTTAGTGCCTGGAAATACACCCAGATTTCAAAAATATTTTATCTGCTCATTATAGTGCACACACGCTCGTAACTGTCCTTGTGAGAAGCCCCTAGAAGGAAAAGCGCTATTGTGTGACAGTTTTAAAGCAAAAAAAGGGTGGGACTGACAAAATGTACTTGTTAGGATGCCTGGGTCGTTTTTAATAAACTCAAAACTCAGGGTTTTGAGTTTATTATATTATTTATAATTTCTAGTCTTTGGTTTCTTTGTTAGAGTTCTGTCTTATGGTTTATGTCTGTGTTCTCTAGTTGCTCTGTCTCCCCTGTCAGCTGTAGCCCCTTGTCAAGTTCGCGTCTCTGTGTTATGTTTCCTGCTTTACTTTGAAAGTCCGTGTCTCATGTAAATGCGTCTGGTTTTGCTTCCTTTGTCTCGTTAGGCCTGATTTGCCCCAGCTGTGTTTTCCCCCTGTTACCTATTCCCTGATTGCTCTATCTGTGTATTTTAGCCCTGTGTTTCTCTCTGTCCGTGTGGCAATCTACCCTTATCTAGCTGTGTGTTCTGTCTGTGTAAGTGTATTTTGTATTCCTAGTTTTTTTTGCCCTTTTGAGTTCAGCATTAAAGCTGTTTTGAGTTCACGTCTGTCTCCGGAGTCTGCACTTTGGATCCTTTTCCTGCCTGCACACAGCCGTCACATAACAGTACTGGGGACTTCCCCCTTCAACCATGAAACTTTGTATTTCATACTTTTGCTCCCTTACAAGAATAAACACAATTCTTGACTGTTGCTCATTTTTGTTCATTTTTATTGTGGCAAATACTCACTTGACCAAAGAATTAAAATTATAAACCAGAAGATTTGGACTGTTTTTTGGTCCATTTGTGCCATTATAGTGTATAAAGCAATACTAATGAACAGACCTAAACAATGAACCAATAGAACAGGAGCATAAAGAACTCTAACTTTCATGAAATGTAAGATCAGAGTTTCCCTGAAACAATTAATAGAATAACGTAATAAACTGAGAAAACAACGCTGAGCGTTCTTTACTGCTCTAGATAGAAAAATACTGATTGAATATGGACCATCTTTTCCCTCAGGTGTTCAGCGATGACTCACAGCGGTCCCACATTTTATAAGAATTAACATTTTAAACAGTATGAATTCTCATGTGCTTCTTTAATTTGTTCCTCTCAACAAATCTTTTCCCACTGGTGCTACAAGGGTACTGCTTTTCACCTGTGTGAATTCTCGTGTGTCTTTTGACCTGTGATGAGGTAGCAAATCTTTTCTCACAGGTCCTACAAGAATACGGCTTCTCACCTGTGTGAATTCTC